TGTCTTTACAGTGACCATCGATCGGAAGGAATGTTGCTTCAACTCTTGTGAGACTTGCTGCCCAACCATCTATCTTTACCGATAAACACCAACAGTATTTGTGCTCTTCCTCTACTTTAAGTTTGGTGGCAGTAGTGCAACAAGTGAAATAGTGAGGTTCTAGTGAAGGTAAGGAAGTAGAATGCCGCAAGCTAGCTAACCAGATCTGATGTAACCTTCCTCACAATATCACTTGAACATTCCATGCAGTTTTCTACACTGTTTAACATTTGAGGTTCATCTGCTGTTCTATTTATCATATATCTTTATCTTATCTTTCAAACCTCTTTTTCTGCAAAGGTATAATGGTTTTCCAACTGGATAATGGTTTCACCCACTAAGTATCCAAATGAACCAACTCTGAATAATCCAATCGCGGTAGGGGACGGAAACAGAATTCCCATTTGCTTTTGATGATTTTATTACATTTAAAGTACAGTTTTGTTTGATTAAGATGCGTAGCTGGTTATCTTGAATAATAAATATATTGGTGAACATAAGAGGAAAATAGCCAGGTCCATTTCCAATAAATGCCAACTTGGAGCAAAAGAGTTCCAACATTCATTTAACTTTTTCTGAAATAAATGATTACAATACTGTAGGCAATTTCAATTATCTACGTCCAGCTAACATACTGACGAAATTAAACAGTATTCGGAGACATATAATTTGTCGTAGCCTACATTCCGTGTGCATTAAGCAGCACATGAATCCATCTTATATTCATGAAGGGGTTTCAATTTCATGATGTAGCTTTATATCAGTCACACGCTGGTGAAGAAAGTCTGCAGCAGCCTGTCCTCACTCCCCACTGCATAACTTTTCAAGGCTATGTAGGTCAGCTGTCTCAGTGAACATTCAAGATTTTTTAATTCCTCATTGTTTATTCTCTCATGTCATCTGAAATTATGTATTACCGCTGAGGTGACTTGTTGGGGAGACAAATGCTAATCAACACATTTATAGCCTTAGTTCCCCTTTCCCTTGAAAGCCGTCGAGGCATGTTCAGGCTTCAGCAATCAGAATTATGTAATTGTACTTTCTAAAACGACTCATTTTCAAAGCTTGAATTCAGAGGCATAAAGCTCTCCCATTACGTCTCCTCAACAGTCGTCAACTTCAGTGGAAAAACTTGTGACACTGATGAAGCCATTTTGCATCTATGAGTTGAAAGATGAAGTTTTCCAAAGAATTTTTGAACAGCAAACAAACCTCTGCAACAACCCAAACTTTCTGGTAAAACAACTTTAATGATTGCAAGTTTGAATTTGAAAGGATTTTTAGTCTCTTTGATCTTTTATTTCCAATTCACCTTTGCATACTCCAGAGTCATGAACATTTATAATATGCAAAGCCCTCCTTCTATTAAATCGTACTCGATGTGAAAGCTTCAAACCTTCTGAGAAAGCCTCTGACCTCAAACGGTAACGAAAGCAGCACTGGCCCTGAGGTCTTGGCTTACACAACCCAGTGAAAAAACAAAAAAATGACTCCACAGCCCTCTCAGGCAGTTAGAGACACACATACATCTACATCCATCCCTGACCTACAACGCGCAATTAAATCTGTTTTGGTGTGCAAGCCTGCTCTGTAAACAAAGTGCGTGATGCGTGGCTGCTTATCCAACAGATACAAGGATGTTATAAGTGAAGAGTGCGGTGAAATATCATAGGAACCATCACCACTTGCAATTGGCCTGGTGTTTTCTTAGATAATACATTCTGCTTCTTTTCAGAAAAGATAAAACCTTGGGAGCTATTTCCCCAACACATATCCTCGTGCGCCTGTGAGATATTACCCTTGCCTTATCGGGGAAACATATGGGCCGGGCTTTGAAAGATTGTGGCTCTAAAAGGAAGAAATCTTTATTCAGGGAGTGACGGTTCAATCCATGTAAACCCCTCTCGGTGTCTAAAACTTATCTCGCCATTCATTTTCTGAACAAAAGCGCAATTTGGCACTCTGGAAACTTTACACCACTTTTTAATTAATTAACATCTTAGTTCATTCCTCAGTTGAAACTTGTTATGTTAAGTGTCACCTATGCTTAATTACCGAACAAGTAACTAATCGCCGCAAGACTAGTTTTTCCAGTCATGGATGAAAAATCCCTCAACCAAACCTCCTTAAAAAGCTTTATTCGCCACAAGATTTATCTTCGACACAAATTGCATGCCCATTGGTGTGATGAGAACATGCTGTGTACAATAGACCAACACTGCATCTGCTGAGGATATTATGTTTATTTCCCGTCATTAGTCTGGCATGAAAACACTGCAGGGTAGAGACCATGTTGTCCATTAGGGGTCACATTCAGTGCCTTTAAATCAAATAGGATCCTTAATTATATATAGTGGAATTGGCTAGTGGTGCAAGTAAATCATTTAGAGGTAGTTAATGATTTCCTGCTTCAGGGCTGTTTATTGACTAGAACATCAAAAGTCGTGTTTGGATTTTTAAACCATGCTCTACAATATTAAAGTTCCTGTTGCATACTTAAGGATGGATTGGTCAAAAATAAAGCAACAAGCTGGACTCCTGTTTAATACTAGAACACACAGACTTTGACAGTGATATTTACCGTTAGTTACGACTTGGTAAAGCTTCTCCAAAGCCATATATTAAAAACACTACAACTCTTCACTCTTATTCATACTGATTGCATGTGTGAAATCAGTACACTCACCTTCTTTCACTTACACCAGTGTACAACTGAGAGGCTTTCCTCAGAAATCTCCTAACAAATGCTTTGCAGCGCTCTGATTCAGGTCACAGAAATTGAATAATTGTCTTTATTTCTTGCTAACAGACCATTTTTGAATTTAGGGCACGATCTCTATAAGGAGGCAGCCCTCCATCTCCCAGAGTGAGTCTCCCTTTTTCCAAAACTGTTAAATTCCCACTTTCTTTTTACAAAAATGCCCTCCAGGGCAGGTGCTCGTATATTTGTAGCCTGAGGTAAAGAAAGACACTTTAGGGGCCTGGCAGATATCAGAAAGTTGCAGTTCTGTGAGCAAGGTTTCTCTTGAGAGAATGAAAGAATGATTTTGTAAAAAATGGGATGAGAAAAATACTGAAAGTGGAGGATCAAGACTGATTGCAGCTGCTATGATAATTAATCTAAACACACTTTTAAAAATACACAATGTCCTGAATAAAAAACAAAAGCAAAGAAATACCGAATGTCGAGAACTTCTATGCTTATATGACCTTTGGCTACTGACAGATGTTGAAGAATTTCTATGCTTGTTTCCTGGTTTCAACCCAATTGTGAAAAATACAAAAACACAGTCATTCTGTGAGCAAAGGGAAATAACGAGCAAGAAAACGAGGAAGAAGAATGAGACGGAAGATTGTTACGAGCACAGAGAGTCGTTATGTCAGGAGCTACCAGTGGGGTGTCTGAAATATTCATCATCTTCCCTTCTTCTTTCTTAAGACCAGCGTTAGCATTTCTGACGCAACCAACACTGAACAGGAGCATGACAGGACAAAAGAGTCCGGGCTGGGTGGGGATGACTAATCAGAAGGTACAGAAACACTGTGTTCTGTGTGTGTGAAAGTGTCTTTAGTGTTAGTGCCTGGGCACTTCTTGTTTCCTTTCAATGTTACACAGAGAGCTGAGAGTTTAGTTGCCAAATGAGACATTAACCTCTGGTGGCAGCTACTGAACTTTCCAGACATGACCCTGTTTAACTAGATGCTTAATAGCACAAAATGAAAGCGAGTCGTTTGGAGTTGAACTGGATATCTAATTCCCCGCTATGAAAATGACATCACGTGGTTTTCTTGTCTTTTAGACATTTCACAGAGTCATCAATAACATTGTGAATATGATCTTGGTGAATATGATGTTCTTACACCTGTTTTACTTGGAAGGTAACAAGGAAGTAACTACGGTGGCTGACAGGCAAACGCATCGAACAGTCAAAAACACATACATTAAGAGAAACGCGCTACATGCTAGAACGATGCAAATATAAAAAACAAAAATGTGCCAAAAGATAAGAAACATCTTCACCAACTTGACAACAGGTACGCAGCATTTAGAAAGCATTCACCAACTTGATGAAACATGCGCAGGGTGTTGCATGTGGGTTGGCACATTTGTGTTTGAATATTTACATCGTTTTTGAAAGTGTTTTGGGGCCGTTGTAGCCACCGCAAGTGACCCTCTTTTGAACAAGTCACTCAACAAATTAAATTCATCAATACTTTTGAATATGTAGAAGTCACGTGTTGTGAGTACTATTAACATGTAAAAGGGTTTCGTTGTTGAATTACAGTTACAGTTAACATCAGCACACGAAAGAAACTAAACTAGTTTAATATGCATACTGAGTATTCTCTTTAACACTCGTCATTTGTCCTTGTAAGACTTCACACTAGAAAGCCTGATTGAATTGAAGCGTTGTATTCAACTTTGGACAAAGTATTGTTGTACCTCTGCACCTTTGTAAGAGTTTATACCATATCTCAGGGCCAGTGGTCCTATTGCAAAAAGCTTCAAGCACGAACAAATTAATGAAGCGCAGCAGCAAGGCTGGCTCCTATAGAGGGCTCACACACACCCCTTGAATCGGAAAGCTCAGGCCCATGAGGAGTTCATGGGGAAACTCCAGGGTACCAAGGTTGCATAATTTACAGTAGGTCTGTGTGTTGGGAAAGCAGATGGGTATAATGCTTGAAATGAAAATGCTACTTGTTAACGGTAAGTTGCATTGTATAATAATCGTTGGCTTGCCTACCCTTTTGCCAAAAAACAAAATGTGCCTTTCAAACATGTTATCGAGTGGAGGTGTCATTATTGTGCATTTGGCAGACTCAGCATTATCCTCTTCTTGGTGGAACGTAAACACTTTGGAGATGCCTCCCACCATGATAATCTTAACCGAATGCTGCACTGCGTATCCATTTGTGGAGGAAGAAGACAAACTTGCAATATTTTTTCACATATCCACTCATATGGATTTCAGGACTTTATTGAGCAATAAAAAATATACACCAAGGAAAATATCCTTCTCCCCCCATATTGTTGTTCTTCACTCTCAAAATCTATTTCGATACTTCCAGATGAACGGCTCAAATTGACAAAATGAAAAAAAAAAATAGAGCAGTCTTTTTAGTTCAACAGTTGTAAACCACCGGAACAGTTTGAAAGCATCTGTTTGTTCGTATAGTTCGCTTTTTGAAAAACGTATTTCAAACAGGAGGGATATCCCAGACTAGGCGGTCACCTCTGACTCTGACTCTGCCTCTGCGTAGAGTTCTGCCAGTTTCTGGAACTGGGGCCCCCAGTTGTCTAGGTAGTTATAATCCTGCTCTGATTGTGTTCCGGGAGTGTCTAAAGGGCTGACGGAGCCCGTGGGGGAGCCCTGGCCCTCGTAAGCGTAGGTCTGGAGAGAGTCGTAAGGCGGCACGCTGGTGTCCATGTCGGCCTCCACCAGTCTCTGCCTGATAAACTCGTGCACATCCGACTCATCCAGCTCCACTGCTACGGCCCGGTGGCTGCGGTTGAGCGCGCAGTGTTTTCTTTTCTCCGGCCGAATGTCCCGTCGGAACTTGAATTCCTCGGCGGCAGCGGGGTTACGAAGGGCGATGATGTCGAAGGCCTCGGTGTCCTCCTCGCCTCCGCCCTCATCGTCATACGTGACTACGTTCTCTCGGATGTCCTCTTCAGAGATTATAAGCGGCTCCTTCTTGCTCCGCCTCAGTGTGATGAAGAGAACCACAATGGCTGCAAAAGAGAAGCGTTCTTTATTTCAATGAAAAGTGGTGAGGATAATATCCCTCAAAAATCAATAGGTTGCAACGTATGAGCATTATTCCAGTATTTAACTTCGTACAATAAACTCAAATATGTAATAACTCTGGATTATAGTCAACAGTAAGAAAATTGCTTTTCACAACAATTAAATTGACAAAGTGCTTAGCAGAAGACTAACACATTACAGAAACGTTGGAAGTGAACACAAGCTGACATTTTCTGCATATTTATCTGTTTTTCCATCAGGACACTAAAACTAGCCAAGCGTTGAAGATTTGTAAATCGATAAAGCACATTAGCTGACATTAGCAAAGGCTGTGATATTACTTTGAATACAAGCTGTTGAGATGATGACAATACACACATTACCATTATCTGCGGAACATTTCATCTAACATCCAGCTTCAACAGCCAGTGAATATCAAGTGAACATGTGACAATATATGGAAGAATATCTCATCTTTGAGTTTTACGTGGAAATAATGAGCCTGTTGTGCCACATTAGAGAAAATATAGCACAATGAAAGCTAAGTAGCTTCCAGTGTGAAATATCTTTTCCAACTGCTAATGAAGTCATGAAGCCGAGGAATATTTGATGACATGCTACATACAGCTTGGAACTTGTTCGTACATCTAATGAGAGTTATCTTGAAGGGCTTTTTTTTGTTAATAATGACCTTTCTGCAGGATGTTAACAGTGACATATATCTAATGAAATGGCTTATAGAATCAGAGTACATTTGTACATTAGTGCAATATCTAAAAGGAGTTCAATATGCTGCATTAACAGACCACAGAGCTATATCAGCGTTCCTGCAGGGGTATGAATAAAAACAGATGAATATACACTGTTATTGAATAAAAAACTGTTATAAGGTTTATTTATATACTGTACATAGAACCAAAGTTATGATCAGCCTCTGGGGGTGAGACGTAACACATTCAAGGTGAGAGCTAAACAGAGACATGAAGGTGGTTTTGGATTAAGAGGAGGTAGAGGTAGAGGCTTTCATAACGTCAAGGATGCACTGATGCATTTGACTAATCTACTGTATTTATTCAAGCAACACATTTGTTGTATACATATTGTAGAGAGTATGGAGAAAGAGGCATACTGTAAAGCAATTTCAAAGATGACTTAAGCCTCGGAGCAGACTAAAGGTGTGTTTACACCAAGCTTCAGCTGTTTAGTTAAACCCTGCAGCCGATTCTTTCTCAGTTCTCTGAGGCAGGTGTGAATAATCCCACTCAAACTGTGGCAGGACTGATGAAATGTACCAGAATAGACTGAAAACGATAGATGTAGTCCACTACTACTTTAAAGGAGGGTTAGGGACTAGGATTGACAACACATAGATGTTGTCCACTACTACTTTACATAAGAGTTAGAGACTAGGGTTGGACAGAAAATATATTGAATACCTCCATTACTTTAAAATAGGATTAGGGTTTGACAAAACATAGATGTAGGTTTAGGAACTTCAAAACTGAACAATTATTTGTTTATTCTCCTTATGATTTGTATCGTCTTCAAATGTAATTATTTGGCCAATTTATAAAGTCTGGGTTCATACACCCACAGCTACTTCTTCATGCTTTAACCGCAGGGTGGAACCCCAAAACTCATTCCAGTAACTGCACCACTTGAGGCGATTATAAATTTCCCTCAAAACAAGAGTGGCATTTATATAATGGAACATTACACTTGGAATGCAAGAAAGTAACATTTTCCATTAGGCACAACAATTTGTTTGACTGTTCCCTTAAACACCTTATGACTTATTATGTTATTATGCACACATCTATCTACATATCTTTCATTGTTCAGTGCGCTTCCTCGTCTGTGTTTTTAATGAAATGTCCCCTAACCTGCATGTGATTAAACTATACAAAAAAACTAAAACAGATTCACTTTACCTCAAGTGGGGTTGGAGAAGGTGAAAAACAGCATTTCTGTGGGACAGTGCTTATTGTTTAACCAGTTATGGGAAACCAATTAAACAATGTTAGGATTTGAGAATCTGCTGGGTAAATCATTGTCAGCAGAACTAGGAAATACAGAATTTTGGCTTTTCAATTAATTTCTCAGCTACTTTTTATTTGGCTACTCTTTTTGGTATGAAAATAATGACTCACTTAATACCGCCTCAATATTTAACAGCATTCCATATGCCAAACTGCAGTTTCCAAAGTTTGTGGTCTGCTTGTATTTGCTGTCTATTCCCATCCACTGTGCACACCATATTGTATTACACCCTTTACATTAATGCTCCCTCGATGGTCCATTCAGGTCATTTCATTTGCCTCACCAGGGCTGGTGGAGGTCTAACTGGTACTCACTACACCACTTATGGCACCAGACAGTATTACCCCAGTCAGCTGATATGTATTTCTGCAGCAGGAGCCATTGCAGGAGTCTCATCCATGCTACATGTCTCCTTGTTATGGAAGATTAGACTGAGGGACCAGTTATTATACCATATTAAAAGAGGATGTGATTATAAAATTCACTTTTTCAGTGCACACTTATGCACATGGCTATGGGTAATTTCCTAAAATTACCTTTTTACTAAAATAAAATATATTACAATTGCCATTAGTATTTGGTCTGTGTTGGTACAAAGTCACTTGAATTCATCCATAATGTTTTTTCTTGACAATATTTTATGTCAGCTAAGAGATTTATATTTGTATCCCTTTCTGTGTTGGTGCAGGCTTAATAAGGGGGACCCATGTTAATACCAGGTGTAAATGAGCCCATTAAGTATTGAGGGTTGATACTGAGAGAAATGCATGATAGGCAAACAACAGGGGACAATGCAGATAATAAGCATGCGTTACCCCAAGACACCCACATTCCGCTATTTCTTTCTGCTATGAACACCAGAGATGGGGAATAATGAAACAATTGTACGGTCAAGTCAAATGATGGGGTGTTAAATGGAGTGAAATCTGATTTATTTCGCCCGCAACCCAATAACAAAATGTGTAATATGAGGTGACAGGGTTTCAGACCTCTGTCCAGTATATGAGCCGAGTGTGAGACTCCTCACTTGTTACTGGAAAGTGTGAACCGCAATGCAACACGAAAAAAAGAAGTGTGATCGTATCCTGCCTCTTGCTGTTTATCTCTCTCTGTCCTAACTAGTATCTGTTGGTGATTACAGATTCAGCGTGTGTCTCTCACTCCGAACAGCGGTGATGGCCTTTTGTTCGCCGCAGCCAGAGGCTTTGGCATGGAGGAGGAAACAGCAAGTATGAATATGCATAACCTTCACGCGCTAATGTCCAGAGACAATCACTGAAGAGAGGAGGGAGAGCAGATACGCTGAGGCGTGTTGTTCGACAGTTTTGTCAAATCATGTCCTGCTGCGGTTTGGTTTGCAGAGGCATGCTCTGACAGGAGATTTGTTTGGACTTCTGCTATATTTGACCTTGGATTTTGCACCATCTTTCCAACGTCTTCCACCCCAAACGCTGACATTCGAAGTGTCAAGATAGTTAAACATTTATTTATAATCACTTTGGCAGGACTGGTTGCTATGGTAACAAGACACACGTACTCATTGACTGAAGGCGTGTTTACTCGCTGCTGCCAGTCCTGCCTAATGGAGTCATGGTGCAGAACAAGTCCAAAATCTGTCTCTTTATTGGCTGTCACCACATTCCCGCATGCTTTCACTCAGTCACAACATGAGATGTTAAACGTGTGGGAGGAAGATTGAGATGCGTAGTAAAAGAGCACATATGGATCGAATTGCCAACAAATGTGATTTAAGTATAATCTGATTTCCTGATTTCAAGCCGCCTGTCTGCACATGAATCCTGGCTCGCTCTTAAATCCAAGTTCCACCCTCTAACCACTGTAGGTTCATTCTTTCTCAGTTTTGTGAATCACACATTCGACCCTGCAGTCTCCATTTTTTGCTGTCTTTGTTCCCACCTCTCCTCCAACCTACTCCTTCTGTGTCCTTCTCCTCTATCCTTCATTTCCTTTTCTTTTTCTTCCACCTCTGCCCTCTCCAACTCTTTTCACCCTCATTCTTAATTCTCCCTGTGTCCCCGCAAGTCTTTTCATCCCTCTCTCCTCCTCTGCCCTTGTCAAAAACCCCCTTCCACCCTTCGCTGCTCCTCTATGGTTCACATCCTGTGTCCATGCCCTCAGGATATTTGGCCCCGGGCGCCCCCTCCCCTCCCCTGCTGTGGCTGTCCTTACTTACCCAGCAGGATGACGATGCACAGCAGGATGGCGATCAGTGCTCCGGTGCTGAGCCCCGCGGAGGAGAGGAACGCCTCGCCTTGGCACATCCGGACCTTGCCGTGGCGTTGGCACGGGCACACCCTCAGGGTCAGGGTGCTGGTGCCGCTCAGGGAGGGCTCCCCGCCGTCCCACACCACGATGGGCAGCTCGTACAGCTCCTGGGTCTGCTGGTTGAAGCGCCTCCGCCTGGCAATGATGCTGGCCGAGCTGTCTATAATTATAAAAAAAAACATGTTTAGGAAAATTAGACCCCTTGGCCTAAATGTCTAATTGTTGATTTCCTCTTTCTTCTCAATTGCGTCAGGCTGAGAGCAAGACCTGCAATTATCTTTTTCGTCAAGGCAAGGCAGGTTTATTCATACAGCACATTTCAACATAAAGCAACATTAAAAGCATTTAGATACAGTGCAACAGAAGCTTGATTTGATTGAAGCCAGCGAAAATAAACAGACAGACTGACATTGGGTTCAAGGGTACCAATCTTCAGCCAAACAAAAATATAATAATCCAATAAATCACATTTCCCATTGTGAATTGTGCTTTTTGCTTTTGAAGTATCTCAGGCTGGTTTGATTCTCACTACGGCTTCGCTGTGTGCAAAGGCTAATTAATTTCCAAGTAGTTGGTTTACTATTTTTAATGCGCTGCAGAAGAGCAGTTCACCTTGGCCTCGTGCAGAAAAGACCTCTAAGGGAACGTGTCAGGTAGATAAACAGAGATAAAAGTGCTACATTTGTAAAGAAGAAAACACAAACAAGGGAACCCGAGAGCAAGGTTTGATGAGATGATTCTGCAGAGGAAGAAGTAAATAAACACGGACGCAACTCTTGTATACATTAAAAAGGTGGAATGGAAAGGATTGTGTTGCTTTTTGTCCCTCTCAGATGGACTTTTATAAAAAGCTAGGACATCTATAACATACTGTACAGACTACTTCACAATGTCTTCTATACTGTAGCCCACGTAAGCAGCCTTGTCTCCTTCAGACTCAGACTGTAACAATAACAGATGCAAGACACATTTTGGCCTTTGTTTTGGCTTACAAACTGCAACCAAACAAATGGTCTAATTTATAACTGGGGCGTCAGCGCAAAAATAGCAGCTGTTCAGTATTTTCCTTCGTAACAAGCTTATTTCACTTTGGTTAAGAAACACTTATTTTCAAAAGAAATGCATGCTAAGAAGCTTACAGCAACACTTCACACTGGACTGAGGATTAGCCATTAAGAGTTTGACATACAATCTTTACAGGTGTGTGTAGGCTCTTAGCGAGGGGTTACCTCAGCAGGAAATCACCATGTTTATATTTGAGAAGTGTTCAAATAGCATGGCTTATGGACCATAGAGAGTATTACCACAGTACGTACTTAAAACCAGCAAAATTCAAGGCAAACTGTTCCTTTTTAACTTGGCCTCACATGACTGACTGACTAGATGACACGATAAATAAACACACAAGATATTCCGAGTTGTGAAAATGCTGAATCGTGCACAGGGCAACCTTTCACTTCCCACCCAGCGAAAACACCTCTGCCGCTGCATCATTCTGCTGCTCTGAGACCTCGCCTCCCACTCCAATCTCTGCTCTATCTATGAATAATTACAATGATCGACAGTTGGAATGACAACATGTACTTCAAGCTTTATTAAGTCAGACTCGCAGTATCACCGTATCAGCAAGCAGATGGGGTGGAGGGGGGTGTGAGAGAGGGAGTGCAGTGTGCAAGATGCAAATTGCAAGGAGGAGAGATGGGGAGTCGGAGGATGAGAGGAGAAGAGGGGGGTGAATGGAGGAGGTTGTGTGTGTGTGTGTGTGTGAGCTGAGTCAGAGAGAGACAACCAGGCGGTGTGTTCTCCGTCACAGCCTGCACTTTGAAGCAGAGACCCACGGCAGCACAGGTCCTTGTACAGAGCACCACGAGGAAGTGCACATCAATTACGACTAATTTCACATTCAGCCACGCTCGGCGCAGGTGGCTGCAGGAGAGCTGTGCGTTTGTTGATTAATGCCGCAGTGAGGCGGGCAATCTGCAGCCTCATAAGAGCAGAGACTGCAGGAGGTAGCACGCTTAACGTGTTCTGACAGCATGTGACGCTACCTGCAGTGCGAGGCAGGTAACCGCCTAGGAAATGAGGGGAAATATGCTTTTAGGAGCATTTCACACTTCATTTGAAACGATCCTGCACATTCTGATCCGTGTTATTTTTGCACATCACTAGCAATCAAATTTGGAGTCACATAAAATGGCATTAATATGCATGTTTTGGAGGTTCTAGTCAGTCATTTGGAATTCCCTGTGCGCTGAGTTTGTTAAGCCAGTAACTGGAAAATGAACTCAATGTTTTTCACGTTCTTCAGAAGCATTAGCATGATCACTTGCATAACTGTTTGATCTATATGCATTCCTGTATCTCCATGTCAAGATATGAAGTGAAGTGGGATTTCACAGCATTTCACAACATACTTGATTTGATTATAATCATTTTATTACTGTTATGAAAAGACAATGAAGCCGTCATAACGGTATCAAACCATAACATCCCTTATTTTGAGTTGCAAACGATACAATAAACGAAGCCGAACAACATTTAGATTGAATTCATTCAAGAAACTTATTTTATAGTGAATGCAATTACCCTTTGACAAGAAGCCGACTCATTGTTGAACATATGATGTGTGATTTAAAAATGGAATCCAAAAATACCCCAACAATAGACACATCAGCCTCTCTGCAGACTTCACACTTGCCTACACATGCTCTGAGCTGATTCTGTGTGAACCTGGGTGGGTGTGTGTAGGTGCCGTGTATGGGATTCAACACGAAGCTATTCTCCAGCTGCCACTTAGAGCACGACATACACCGTGGAGCAGAATATAAAGTTGGTCAAGTTGTAAAGGTTCTAAACTAATGTTGTTCAGGATGCAAAGGAACAAATCAATTCTACTGTGTAGATGTTTCCGGTATTTCTCATAAAAAACAGAATGTATAAATGTTTGATGATAGAAAACTGAGCAAATCTCTGTTTTTGAAATGCTGAAAATGGCATTCAATAACATTTTGAAATGAAAAATACTTTAATTTATCAAAATAACTTAATAGAGACTTGCATAACCCAAAAAGTAATATACCAAACAGAATGTTTGAAGAGAAAAGGACAAATAAGTAACGTTACATGTCATTTTTTTCGATAGTTTTGAATGTAGGTCTGTAGTGCAGTGTTGTCCAAACACTTATATATACTTTTGTGCGGTAATAACAGGCCTTTCATGCAGAATAACAATCAGCAGATTAAACACAAATGCAGCAATCACCTTTTTAAAAGAAGCTCCTGCATTCAATAAAGATTAGTCTGACTCAGTAAGGCTTAGCTTAACAAAACACTCCCCAGCAGTGACTACAGATAGCACTTAGTGATCAGAAACAGCATAATTACACTGTCACAGTGTGGTTTGTTTCATAAGGTTGTGTTTTTGTGTATTCAGTTAATTATGGTTTGGACAGTACAGTATGTTGTGCTGTAACAATCAAAGAGGTCTGCAGAGTACTGTTATTATTTTCCTCTGTTGTGCGGAACGAAATTGGTTCACACCTTCCGTGATGCACAAAAGGCTGCTGTGGCCATGCNATTGACAAGCACTGATGTTATATCTTTATATTTAAGGCCAAGCTCAAAGTAAAATCGATGAACCACTCCATTGTTGTGGTTTCTGTGTTGCCGTAGCGCTGCTACGGCAACACAGAAACCACAACAATGGAGTGGTTCATCGATTTTACTTTGAGCTTGGCCTTAAATATAAAGATATAACATCAGTGCTTGTCAATAGGCACGGGTTTCACACATAGACTGTATATATATAAAGGGTTTCACATAAGTGAAGACACCTCAAGAGAACACTCAGAGTGAGGGGACATGCACGTCCCTCTGAGCTGTGTTATTGACAGATTCAAATTTCGCGGATCAATAACTCATGAACATAACGTTGTAAAAATACAAACAACATGACTTTACAATCATAGCAAGGTAGACAACGAGCTACAGAGTCGTTTTTATAAGAACAGTTCGATACGCGCCGTCATCAAGTCTACAAACTGCAACGGGATTTTGCGAGATATCGCAAAAGTATTGCGAGATCTCGCAAAGGGGTTTTGCGATATCTAGTATTTTTTTTTTTTTTGTTCAAACATTTTTTTTCTTCTTCTTCATGTCCCATAGGGGGCTCCGTACAATTCAGTATGTTAGTTGGCAGTAAGTTAAAGCTGGTCAAGTCAACTTCAGAGAAACCAGCGGGAATAATGGTGCATTCAAATGTTCCTTGGATGGTCCCGTTTCCAGAGTTTGGAGGTTATTCTTCTGAATTCCATGTGTTTTTGAGCTTTAAATCTTAATGTGGAAACAACATGGATTTTATTGCTTAGAACTTTTAACCAACGTAGATAGTTGTATCCAGTATTTGCTTGACAACCAATGGCAAAGTAAATGGATCATGCTTGTCAAAGTAGACTGCAACTAATGACTTTACACAAATGACAAGAAAACAAAACATTTAAACATACAAAACGCGTTATTATTAAAAATCCTCTTTCATTAAACTGACGTTCACTTTCTTACATTGTAACCACTTAAACTCGGCATGTAATGTACAAACATTGTCGCCAACCTTCGGAGTTGTTGTTACGAATTATGGGCCAACTTTTCGAGTTTTTCCGAATTATGGACTGTTCATGTGAATTTTTCCATTTAGGAAACCTTTTTATTTTTTATTATTTCAACATCACGTGAATGTAGCATGAGCTACACTTTAAAATGATCCAACTGAAGAAATCCCTGCAGCATTTGATTAATGATTGCTGTCAAGGTGTAAAGAACATTTCAACAAGTACAACAAAAATAGCTTCTAAAATAAATTGTGAGTGAACACAGCTTGTCAATTCACTCAACTTGCTACTTGTCTTTACATTTCTCTACATGGCTGTTCATTGATGTTTCGTAACCACCTAATCTTGAAGAATTGTATGATATATTTAAAGAAAGAGCTGTATTTTTCTCAGTCTAAGCGCATGACTAATTAACCAACAAATATCTGTTAAGGATGAGAAACACCATGTCATACACTATGTGGGAGGTTTTTAAATAAAAGTGTCATATCTACTTTCTCAAACCTCCAACAATCAAGCATAAGGAAGTATCTTATTAATACCAGCAAAAATGATATTCCAAAAAAGGAGAGGACATGGTTTACAAGGCCGTGAAGGGAGGGCTGAGGTGCCAGTTAAATGTGACTCGTCCAGATAAGTAATTGCTGCTGATTTTGCCAAAGACATAACATCATAAAAACAGCATCCATTTAAAACTGACTTGGCCTTCATGCACATGCACACCACCTCCCTAATGTGAACAACATGAGAAAGTCAAATGAGGGTTTGCAGCACTTTAATACATACACCAGGCGGTCTCTTTCAAATAATAATGATAAAAACAAACTTTTGCCGCTTTGGATGAATGATCGTCCGCATCATGAAACTGTAGAGGCATCCGAAGACCAATGGTGCAATGATTAATTCCATCATGAAAATGTTGCACCTAGTAGAATGAAAGTAGTTTGATATCATTATGTCATGCATGTCATACTATGCCTAGCCGACATGGGCGGTCAAGATATCAACAATGTATACAAGACCAACCAAGAAAGCTACAAAATCATTTACAAACAATTCTGAACAACTCGTGAAAAAATGAATCCTTCAGACCTTAATTTCTCCAATAAATACAATCGTATTACATCTTTTTTTGGGAGAAATATTATATAATTGTAGCCTGAAAGAGTGAAAGTCAAGTCAATATTGGCTCCTTTTCCTTAGCATTAGTTTTTAGATGTGTGGATTATGTTAAATTACTTTAAAAGGGCTGATTATGGTGTCTATTTTCATCGTACATTTTCCCAAATGTTTGAATGTTTATTCAAATGATCATGCACATTTGGAGCCATGTAATATATATTTTTGACAAAAATAATCCTATTTTACCGTACAGACACTGGTGGCTAGAAGAATAACAGTAATTGTGCAACTTTGGCTTTTAGATAAGCCAGTTGAGGCAATTATATTAAATGCAACAACAAAAAATGTGGACAGTGAAAGACCACAAATGGTGGTCTGTCATGAACTTGGCCTGAAGAATCCATATATAATGTATTTCTATTTGTATCTTTGGAACCCAGTTGT